GCACGGGAGGGACGGCGAGCCCAAACGTGAGACGGAGGGGTAGGGTCAGGGGACAGCGGAGGAGACACAGGAGGGGAACGAGGAGGAAGACGGGCCGGAGACGAGTCTGGCGGCGGGAACACAGGACCGTAGACAGGGAGGTCAGGAGGCGGTGGGGGAGACACCGGCGCGCGGTCCGGGGAGGGAAGGCCGAGCAGGCGGAGAGCGGAAACCGGCGGCGACGGCTGCTGCGGCGGCGACGACGGCTGGGCCGGAACTCTCGGACCAGCAGAGGCAGAACGACCGTCGGCAGAACACTCAACAGCAGCACCCCCAGAACCAACACCCCCAGAGCGAGAACCCCCTCCAACACCAGCGGCACCCCCAGAAGCCGCAGGACGAACACCCTCCTCCACACCAGCACCCCCAGGGGCCGAGAGCAGCGGCGGCAGTGGCGGCAACGGCTGCGGCGGCGGCGACAGCGGCGACGGCTGCGGCGACGAAAGCGGCGACGGCTGCGGCGGCGACGGCGACGGCGGCGGCAGCGGGGTCGGCGACTGCGACAGTGGGGGCGGAGGCACCGGGGAAGGGGGACGCGGCAAGGACGGACCGGGGGTACCACCAGAGTCAGCAGACTCCTCAACGGGGACAACCGACGGGAGGGGAGTGACGTGGGAGACACCAGACGGGGCAGGACGAGGCGGGAGAGGGGCAGGGGCTACCGGGGGAGAGGGAGCAAGGAAAAGGGGGGGGGCAACTGGGAGACCTCGGTGAGGGAAGCGGCGGTAGAAGGAGACGGACTCATCAAAGGTGACGTCACGAGAGTGGAGGAAGCGGTGAGACGGCGGGTGGTAGAAAAGCCAGTCAGACGAGTCCAGGGGGAAACCGAGGAAGACACAGGGGACAGTGCGGGCAGTGAGCTTGTCCGTGCCAGAGGCACGAACGTGAGCAAGGCAGCCCCAGACGTGGAACGCAGACGCGTCACCGGGGGACCCGGTCCAAAGGAGGGTCGGCGAAACTTGCGGCCGCTGGGAGCGTGGCCACAGGTTAAGCTGGTGAGCCGCGTAGCGAACAGCGAACGGCCACAGAAAATGGGGGGCATCGGCATGGATCATGGAGGTACGGGCGACCTCCATGACCAAGCCGATGCGGCGCTCAGCAACCCCATTCTGCTGTGGCGAGTCCGGCAACGTGTACGACTGGGTGATGCCCTCCGCACGACAGAACTGTCCAAGCCGACCAGAGGCGAACTCGCCGCCACGGTCGGAGTGGAGACACAACACGGGGAGACCGCGGTGGAGACGCGCAGCCACAACCCACGGGAGAAGAACGTCGGGCACGTCGGCCTTCCGCTCCAGGGGAAACACCGTGGTGTAGCGCGTGTAGTCGTCGACAAGCACAAGGAAGTAGCGCTCACCGCGCGGTCCGGGGACGGGGGCAGGGCCCCAAACGTCCAAGTGCAGGGTCTGAAGGGGGGCAGTAGCAGGACGCAGCGAGGAGGAGTGAGGAGCACGGCGGAGCCGACCCTCGACGCAAGGCGTGCACGGTGGCGCAGTCGAGGGAGGAAGGGCAGGGAGCGACGCGGGGAGACCTAAGACAAGACCGTGCTGGGACATGTGACGCAGACGCGGGAGAGCAGGGTGACCTAAGCGGTGGTGCCAGAGAAGGGAGGGGTGAGTGAGGGACCGACACGAGCAAGCTGCAGCGACCTGGGAGGACGCACCAACCGGGGGGGAAGCGGTGTGTAGGGTAAACAGACCGGACACCGGGTCCCGGGGGAACGTCGCAAGGGGGGAACCTGAGACAGCCTCAGAACAGACAGCGAACCGCTCGTGCCCGGGGAACGTGGTGGTGACGCCGAGGTCCTGGAGACAGCCGACACCAACCAGGTTCCTGGAGAACGAGGGAACGTGGAGGCCAGTAAGGGAGCCCGAGGGAACTGCTGGACAGGGAAGGGACGTAGAACTGCGCGCGACGACCGGACCCGCAGAGGGGTCAGCGAGAGAGACAACAGCAGGTGCAGCAAGCGGCGTGAGCGTGGAACGGTCGCGGAAGAAGCAGGCAGAAGCACCAGAGTCGAGAGTGAAGGACAGCGACGCAGTGGCGGAGGCCGGGGACGGAGCCGGTGCAGCGACTAGACTAGGCAACCTAGGCAGTCCTACGCCTGTCGCAGCAGGGGAAGCTAAGCTACACAAGGGTGAAACACCTAAACTAGAGTACACAGGGTAGTAAGATCCATCAACACTAGAAGCGTCAGCATACAAAGCATGCAAAGCAGCACCTATCTGATCCATGTCTAACTCAAAGATCGGCACGCCCTGGCGGAGCAGGCTGTGCCAGTCAGGGAGGTCCGGGGCCGGGCCAAAGCGACGACGAAAAAGATCGTCGAGGCGGCGGAAACAGCGGGCGGTCGGGTGCGGGCGGCGGCACAGAGTGCCGCGGAGAGGCCCGGTCTGAAGCTGGTACTGGCAGGTCACAGCACTGGAGCCGCTGGTAGACGCCAAGCTGCGCGGGCCGCCACCACGGCCACCGCCTCCGGAGGTGCCGGGCCAACCAGGCGGGAGACGTGCCCACGGCTGCGGCGGGTGCTGCTGGGACGGCGGCTGTGGCTGGGGCTGGTCCTGCTGCTGCTGGGACTGCTGCTCCTGCCCACCGGTGGTAGTCCCCTCAGGCGGACTACCGTCACCACCACCACGACCACTACCACCTGCGTCACCACCCCTACCTCCCTGGCGGCCACGGCCACCGCGACGCGAGCGCTGCTGCGGGTGGACAGCAGCAGCCGTCTCGTTAAGAGGGGTCGCCGTGGCGACCGCAGCCGAAACGTCAGTGAACGTGCACGGGGATGGGGCACAGCCGTGAAAGATAGAGACTGGCGGCGCACCGCTCGACTGAGCGATAGTGCGCTGGCGAGTCTCGATCTCAGTGAGGGTGTCGACAAAGGCGGTCAGGGTGAGGTCACCCGGGTGCTGGCTAAGAAAGTGGTCGCGAGCACTAGCGAGGCGGTCTGGCAGGCGCATAGCGATAAAATAGAGCGTCATGCAGAAAGGAGGGGGGAGCGCAGTGAGCTGGGCAGCAGTGCTGGCAGTGCGATAGCGAGTCTCTAGGGCACGCAAATGAGTGGCAAAATCTGCGACAGTAGGGAAGGCAGCCAGGTCTGGGAACAGCATCGGAAAGAGCAAGCGGCCAGCAGAAGCGGAGGCAGGGGTGGAATAGCGAGCAATAACGGCGTCTAAATAAGCTTTGGCCGTTTCAACAGTAGCAAAACGCGAGCGCTCAGACACAGGGAGGGCGTGACTAATAGCAACCTGAGCTACTGCATCGCGTGAGTCCCAGATCGCACAGGCCAGCGCAGCAGTAGAGAAAGCCTCACGGTCATCAGAGGAGGGGTCAGCAGGGAGGGGAGTAGGTGCAGGGGGACGGGGGAGCAAGCCATCAGCATGGACAACCAGAGAGTGGCCATCCTGGCGCTGACCTGTAAGCTGGCGGCGAAGATCGGAGAGCCAGGCGGCGAAGTCAACCGCGTGGCCCTCAGCGTCCAGGCGGAGCACAAAGTCAGCCATCGTGCAGGGTCAGCGGCACAGCTCCTCAGCGACACAGCGGCACAGCAGCACAGCTCCTCAGCGGCACAGGAGCACAGCGGCGCGGGGACACGGCGGCAGCACTCTCCAGTAGGGCAGCAGCTAGGCGTCCCAGCGCAGGCGAGCAGAAGACACAGGGCCCGAGAGGACACGGCAGGCCGAGCAGGGGAGGCGGGCAGGTGCTCTGGGGCCGGGCTGGTGCTGGGAGGGGCCAGGCTGGTGCTGCTGGGGCCGGTCGGGCACGAGGAGGGGCCGGGCAGCGCTGAGGAGAGGCCTGGCGGCGCTAGGAAGGGGCCGGGCGGCACTAGGAGGAGGCCGGGCGGCACTAGGAGGAGGCCGAGCGGCACTAGGAGGAGGCCAGGCGGGCGAGCGCTAACAGCAGGCGCGACAGGGGCCAGCGGGCGCGACGGGGCCTAAGGGGCGCGACGGGGCCCAGCGGGCACGACGGGGCCCAGGGGGGGCGCGACGGGGCCGAGGAGGCGCGACGGGGACCAGCGGGCACGACGGGGCCCAGGGGGGCCGCGACGGGGCCTAACGGGCGCGACGGGGCCCAGGGGGGGCGCGACGGGGCCTAGCAGGCGCGACGGGGCCTAGGAAGCGCGAAGGGGCCCAGCGGGCGCGACGGGGCCTAGGAGGGGCGCGACGGGGCCGAACGGGCGCGACGGGGCCCAGAGGGGGGGGACGCGACGGGGCTTAGGAGGCGCGACGATGCCTAGGAGGCACGACGGGGCTCAGCGGGCTCGACGGGGCCCATGGGGGGAGCGACGGGGCCTAGGAGGCGCAACGGGGCCCAGCGGGGGCGCGTTAGGGCCTAGGGGTCGCGACGGGACCCAGCGGGCGTGACGGGGCCTAGGGGGAGCGCGACGGGGCCTAGGAGGCGCGACGGGGCCCAGCGGGCACGACGGGGCCCAGGGGGGGCGCGACGGGGCCTAACGAGCGCGACGGGGCCCAGGGGGGGCGCGACGGGGCCTAGGGGGCGCGACGGGGCCTAGGAGGCGCGACGGGCGGAAGCGGTAGGCGGGGGGATCCTAACCTAAGCGTGATACCATGTTAACGTAGAAACGAATGATTACTAGAGGTGGAAACCTAGAACAAATACTAGTTGGTTGTACTCACTAGAAGCATACCTCAGTCTAGCCTATAACTTCTACATAGATAATATGTATAAGTTGACATTCGCAACACTTTTTGGATCAGCCTAAAAATATTTGTGAGTCGGATTTTTAAGACCAAGCCGAAAAACTCCCGAAAAAATCAGGGCAATCAGGGCATTTCACCCGGATAATTTGGGGCCTGCCAACAACTCCCTTTCATAAAAGTTTTATGGCGCACATTTCCCTCAATTTAGTAAACTCCGCTATTCTCTAGCCCAACAGCAACGCAACACGCTTAGAGTGCGTATAAACTGACGTCAAGTTACCGAGGCATAAGCCTTTGAAACATACCCCTCAGTGGCTGATCTCAACGGCTCCGGCCACGAAGGAGACTTGGCAGAACGCGAGTAATGGAGGCAGTGGGAAACTTAACAGGGTAACTCGTCGCGGGCTACGCTTCCGGCTTCGGAAGGAGTCGCGACGCGCGGGGTGCCGCAGCGTGTGTCTGTATCCGGCCGCCCCCGCAACTCCGCGGCAGGCCGTCTACCGTTCCCCGCGCCGTTCGTAGGCGGCTCGACGGCACGAATGGCGCAGAGTGCGGCGGGCGGGGCGCGGCGGTGCGCGCTGGTGGTCGATGGCAGGCAGGTGGCGGGCGGCGGCGAGGAGTCGGGGCTGTGGGGCACACGCGAGGAGCGGGTGACCGTCGGGGGCGAGAGGTGAGTGGCGCGCGGAGAGGGATGGGCCATAGGCGGGTGCGAAGCCGAGTCTCGCGTCCAGTTGGTGCGAGCGGGGCCGCGAGCGCGAGGCGCGGCGGGCGGGACGCGGGAGGGGGTGGCGCAGAGCGCGCTGGGGAGACACAGGGGCGAGAGGCATGGTGAGGTGGGAGGGCGACCGGTTGACGATCTTATAGCGGAATGGGCGGAGAGGAAGCGGAGGAATGACCGATGGGGCGAGCGGGCGAGGCAGCTTCGATGGCGAGGCAGCTTTGATGGCGAGGCAGCTTTGATGGCGAGGCAGCTTTGATGGCGAGGCAGCTTTGATGGCGAGGCAGCTTTGATGGCGAGGCAGCTTCGATGGCGAGGCAGCTTTGATGGCGAGGCAGCTTTGATGGCGAGGCAGCTTCGATGGCGAGGCAGCTTTGATGGCGAGGCAGCTTTGATGGCGAGGCAGCTTTGATGGCGCGGGCTGGATTTTATCACTTGATGGCATTGACTCGTTGAAATCAATTGATTCCACAAGCTGTCTTCCTCTCGATCCAGCAATTATGTTTGATTATACAATTTCCAACATCATATCACTTCCCACTCCCTCCGTGAGCCTCCCTGCGCCCCCTTATTCCCTCGCCCCACTCTACCATGCCCCCCTCTCGCGTGCCCTCGCCTGCGCTCGCCACGGCTTGCAGCAGCGTGGAATGGAGCGCGGAGGGCGTTGTGCGCAAGCGACTCACCACCGACCATGCCGTCTCGCAGGTGCTGTGCTGCCCACATGCCGTGCTGCCCACATGCCATGCTGCCCACATGCCGTGCTGCCCACATGCCGTGCTGCCCACATGCCATGCTGCCCACATGCCGTGCTGCCCACATGCCGTGCTGCCCACATTCCGTGCCGTCCACGTGCCGTGCTGCCCGCACTCTCGCAGCTCTGCACTGGCGCGCCGTCGTCCTCTCGCACTGGTTGCTCTTGTTCCTTGCATCCCCACCCGTCCTCTCCCGCTCTCACCGCACCTGCTCTGCTGCTGCAGGCGGCGTGGGTGCGCATGCACGGGGAGGCGGGGCTCTCATCGCTCGCCCTGCTGCATCCTCATGCCATCACTGTCGCCAGCGCCAATGGTCAGCCACGCGTCCCCTGCTTGCTTTCTCACCGATGCTCCCTTCCCGTGCTTGGCACACAGACGACCGTCGGCAGCTGTGGTTTTCCTTGGTACCCCTCAAGTGCTCCTCATTCCTCTCCCTGTTGTTCGCGCGCTCCCCATTCGTCAGTGCCGCTTCTGCTTTCCCGTTTTCTGCCCTCCTCCCTGCCCTCCCTGCCCAGGTGACATTCACGAGATCCCGCTGCCCTTCTCCTGCCCCCGCATCTGGCCCCTCCCCATCGGTGTGCTCCTGCACCCGCTGCACCCGCTACAGCCACACCACACCCCCCCTCCCGCCTCCACCTCGCCTTCCATCCGTCCCTCCTCCTCCCTCCCCACGCCGTTTTCTCCTGCCCCCCCATTCGCCTTCCCCGCCCCCCTCGCTGCCGCTGCGCCCTGCCCGCCCTCCACCTCCCCCATCCCCTTCCCCTCTCTCTCCCCTCTCACTCCCCCTGCCTTCTCGCTCCCTTCGGGTGCGCCTGTTGCCAATGCTGCTGCTGCTGCTGCTGCCGGGACTGCTGGCAAGGAGGGAGCGCAGGCAGGGGGTGGCGGGGAGCGGGTAGAGGCGGGTGCTGCTGGGCACGGCAATGAGGCCATGGGGGGGCCTCACGTGGAGGCGGGGTGCTTCACACTCACACACGCACATGATGAGCTGCAGGTGGTGATGTGATGTGATGCGATGCGATGCGATGCGATGCGATGCGATGCGATTTGCGATGCGATTTGCGATGCGATTTGCGATGCGATGCGATGCGATGCGATGCGATGCGATGGGATGCGATGCGATGCGATGCGATGCGATGGGATGCGATGGGATGCGATGGGATGCGATGGGATGCGATGGGATGGGATGGGGGATGGGATGGGATGGGATGGGATGGGAGGGGGGGGGGGGGGGATGGGGATGGGATGGGATGGGATGGGATGGGATGGGAGGGATGGGATGGGGGGATGGGATGGGGGGGGGGGGGGATGGGATGGGATGGGATGGGGGGATGGGATGGGGGATGGGATGGGATGGGATGGGATGGGATGGGGGATGGGATGGGATGGGATGGGATGGGATGGGGGATGGGATGGGATGGGATGGGATGGGGATGGGATGGGATG